AGCAGGACTTTGATATTGATACCACGCTGGTTCTGGAATAGGACGGAATTATACAAGGCATTCTAGACAGGAGAGTCACCTTACAGAGCTGCAAAGCTACCTAATGGCTTGTATTTCCCATCCCAAGTACGTCCTCGGCCTTTAAAAGGAACCCCCTGAAAACTTTTTCTCAAGGCAAAGAAATAAACCCCTGGACAGCAGAGGTGAAACGTGTCATCCTCCACACAGTACACTGCAACGCCAAAACAAGACTGGGATCTGCTACCATCTTCCATAGGATGGAGTTAAGGCATCTGTTAGAAGCTTGCAAGAATCAGCAGCCCAACCCAAAGTAATTTAGGAGAGATATTTCTATCTTACTATTTTCACACCTTGTAATATCTTATTGCTTTAAAAAGAGCAACTCCACCATCTCCCCAGCATCCCGTGCGACAGTCTTGTCAGCCCCCTGGCTCCTCCCCCATAAGCATTCTGGGATACAAAACTGCTTTTTTTAAGGCTACAATGACTGCCAGGACAAAGTGTTTCACACCTGTAAAAATTATTTACAAGCAGGAAACCATCCTCTTATTTCTTTGTTGCATCACCAGACATGCAAAGTCTGGATCAGGGGTGACTTAAGGTAGATAAAACACTGAAAAAGCAGCGCTGAGCTCTAAGAAACTTCTGCTTTTGTTTATCTGGCAACCGCTCGTGCCCTAGAAAAACCAGGCTCTGGGTAGAAATTTAACTTAAACCAATGAGAACCAGAAAAATCATGATCTAAGAATGAAAGACCATTTCAACAACCCAGAGCAACCACTACAAAGAAGAAAAACGTCCCTGTAGGCAGCTGTTTCTCTGCACAAATGGAACCAATCATGTATCTCATCACCTACCTCAAAACAATGAGCAAACCACTTTGCTGCTGCTGAGCTCCTTTTTAGGAGACTGGCCTCTACAGATGGAGGTTTTATGAGACCCAGGTGCTGGCACTAGGGAACCTCTGGTCACTTCTGAAAGAGTTTAAGATGCAGGAACAGGGTTGAAAAAACCCCAGCATTAAGAACTGCTGAATTACCAACCCCTTCAGAACATCTTCTACAACAAAAGTGACTCCAATCGAAGCCAGTTTAATGCCCCCTTCCCCCCAGCTGAGCCTGAGATTAAAAAAAAGAATCCATAATGTGAAAAAACCTTCAGGCCACCCTCACTCACGGGACCATCACACACTCGCCTCACGGTACCCGTAAGCCAAAGCACAAACGGTACCGATTCTCCCTCGCCAAGATGAGAAACGCAGACACATCCACACTGCCAGGTTGGGGTTTTTTAAAGACTTTCCCATTTTTATAATAATTTTTTGCAACACAGGTAAGAAGATTTATACAATAAAATTTTCAACTGAAAATACTTTTTCACAAGAGCGGAGCGAGCAGTAACCGCCACGTGTGCCTTCCACAGTACACCACTACCTAGTACGAAGATGGACAACACCACGATTAAGATCAGACCCTCTCCTCTGCTTATCTGCATCCAGCCTCATCCCACGGCAACGGATGAGTTTTCTGCACAGGTCCTGGCAAACGAGTTTGCAGACCAAACCTCTGCAGCTGAGGGGTTCTGCACAGCGATCTCCATCCCTGCGGGATGGTACCAAGACCCCGTCAGCAGAGTTTCCTCACCAGTTCACCACGCGGTCACTAAGATCTACAGAGACACACACACAGGTACAGGCGTCAGCACTGTAACAGAGCGAGTCTACAGTCACACCTGTCGATTGCTCCAGGTCTCTGCTGCACATTTAACGAGGGACACTGACCAACTGGCTCTGCTTTAATTCCCCTGGAACCGAGTTGGCATGTGTCAGGGAGGCCCATATCCCAACTGCTAGCAGCCTCTCAGTGGGACCTGGAATACACAAGGGTAATACTGAGAGTCCTTCACTCCTTGCCTATTTTTTTTTTCCTTCCCCTAAAACCAGACTTGCAAGCAGGGTAAAACCCGAACGCGGTAATTTAATAAACTAACTTTTACAAGCTGACTCCAGACACCAGCTTTCCCCAGCACACCACACTCAGACTGGTTCTTCCCACAGCAAGACAAGGCAGAGGCATTTTGGGCAGAGGTCCGTTCCTGTGGGCGCACAGCTGGCATGCCTGCTCCTGCCCCCGTTCTTTCAATAAGAAACTGTGGTCTGTTTCAAAGAATCTTGTCATCTTTTACCAAAGGCGAAAGCTACCCCTCCCTTCCGAGAACCATCGCTTCAATGACAATTAAGTCCGAAAATCCAGGCTCAGCACCCCAGTCACTGCTTTGCCTTTTTCACAATGGTGCCAACAGCTGATATAACCGTCGTTTTGGATCCGCTCGCGCTGGTTGTCACTGTGACGACGCCTGGCAGCGTTGCAGTAGTGGTGAGGATGGTGGGCTGAGCAATCGTCGTTACAGGGATGGCCGAGTCCCACTTGCTCTTCCTCTTCTGGGCATCTGTGAAGTTGATTAGACCAAGCAAACGAGGATTAGCATTAAGTTAAGGGTCACCAATCCCTTTGCAACACCTTGTGCCTTGCCAACTCTTAATAAACCACTGCTTGACTAGACAGTGTTTCCCCACATTTATTTCAGCACACGCTGGCAATAAGTGTTGAGGAGGAGAGACAACTTTATACCTCAAGAGTCCAAGTAAAGCTCTACACCTGAACTCCAGCCAAATGGGAGACAGGCTCACGCCCTGCCCCAGAGCATGCTGAATTTTAACAGAGCACATGTATCTCAGTTGCTCAGGTAGAGGCACAGAACACACTATCTCCAGTGGTTTTTCTCCATTCCTCCCAGCTGGAAAGGCAGGATGATTTTCAGTCCTTCCAAATCTCTCGAGATGTATCAGTCCCAAGAACACTCTACTACCATAAACAAAGGTTTCTTGCCCTGCTAATAACCCTTTTCACTACCCAATCTGTCTCCTAAGCTTTCATTGCAGAAGGACAGCCATGGGATATAGGGACAAGCTAGTCTGTCAGCTCCCGGAAGGAACACTAGATACACATTATATACACAATAAGGAGCCGTCAGGGTTTCCAGGAAGCGCTAATCCCAGCATTACTGCAGCTTAACAGGTACAATCACAACAGTTCTTTACCTCCCACAGTGGTACTGGCTGTTGTGGTTGTTGTAGAAGTGGCACTTGTTGTTGTACCCTTTTTGGTGCCAGTCACAAATTCAATCTGGGAAGGGAGAGACACACAGGAAAGAGGGGAGAAGAGAAAATCAGGATGTTAACATACATAGTCTTATTTTAAGAACACAGAGAAGTGATGTAGGCTAAGAACAGCTTTAATGCCATGTAAGAGATTGGCCTCTGAGGTGACTGTCATGCAGGAAGAAAGATTTAGACCCCAGGCCAAAGCGTGTTGAAGCCACGATCATTAAAGATTCCGGCAGCCCATCTCCAAAGGCAGACACAATAAAAACCTGTTGGTTAACTGGTATAAGCAGAGGAATTTTATATAGCTTGAAGGATAGATTCTGGTCATTAAAGAATGCATTTACACAGTCAGAAGTTCCTTTTCTTTTTCCCCTTAAGAAACATGCAAGACAAGTCCCTACCTGCACGATTTACTGCGACCGCATCACAGCAAGAAACCTAGCAACAAGAGCTACAGCAGCACGCAGACTCACATTTTCAAGGCTGCAGATACGGGCAAGGACGCAATCAGATACCAGGGTTACTGTGCAAACCCCAAACCAAGTAGCAAGACACAGCACGCGCTGCGAGAAAAAACCACCTCCACGTACTGAATATAGAAGAAGCCTTCTGCAAGGTTAGATGGCAGCCACTCAACAGTCTTCCAATGCCAGCCACTAGCTTAAAGGCAACACCACTGCGGGACAGGAGAAAAACCTCCTGTGCTCTCTTTGGGGGTACACAAGAACGTACATTTTTGTGACAAGCCCAGTTCAAGTTAAAACAGGCCCAGCATTTCTGGAAATTAGATGCCAGAAGGCAGTATCAAGGAGAACACAAAGCAGGCATTGTCTCACAATGAGGTATGGTGAGGAAATTAAGCCATCACTAGGCTATGCCACCAGGCAAAATATCAGATTATGAAAAAAGCTGCTGTTTATGCATTATCTTGCCCATATTTTACTGAATAGCCTTTCAAGGGCTCCAGATTAAAAATACTGACAAACCAGATGGAAATCCAGTGGAATACACAATCTAGAGAAATGGACCTATAAGGAAGGGCAAAGAACTTGATCTGCGCAGCCTGGAAAAAGCCGTACAAGAAGAAAGGGCAGAACCAGGGAAAAAAACAAACAGTATTAGCATGGAGCACAGTTCATAAGAAACAGCAAAACAATGAAATTAAATTCAGCAGTGAAACAAATAAACCCCTGCCTATGCCTCTTTTGGTTTGGAATAGCTACCTTTGTGCGTTCCTTCTTGGCCTTCTCCAGTTTATCCATTTCAATCTTCTGGGCTTTAGCTGAGGAAGATGAGAAGTTACAAGAAGTACTAGGAACAGTAACAATTCACAACTCTCTCACTCACACACGTTCCCTCGTGAACAATCACAAACTTCAAATTGTGTATAGAAAATTAAACTGCCATGAAACTAACTACTGCTATTTCATCAAGGCATTACTGCACTAAATTAATGATTTAAGAGAAGAAACACTGAAAAGCCAATTCAAAAGAAAATGCTTTCCAGACTGATGAAGCATCAGTAACATTCAGACACATCCAACCAGAATGATGTAGCTCAAGAGCAGCATGTGATGACTTCTCATTTATAAAGGAAGTGAAGACTCTAGTGCAGTTAATTAACCACAGAACACAAAGAACTAAGGACAAAAAAAAAAAAGACTTCCTGGAATTACCTAGTGCCTCATAATATGAATCCTCTGACCAGCCATGAGGATCAAACATGTCCTACAGAAAAGAAATAAGTCAGATTAGGGCTACATCCACACACACACAAAATGTAACACAAAAATGTTTTATGTATTTCTGTTCCCTGACGATATTCATTGCTGACTTCTTGCACCCCAGTGACACAAAGATCACATCAGACCTTCTTTTATTAGATCACGTTCTGTTGTGAATGAAGAAACAGCTTTGAAGCCAAAGGGATGCTGGGATAAGCCATGCATTTTTCTGCTGCTCCGCTCCTAGCCCCCCAAGGAGTTTCATCCACATTTACACACTTCAGCAGCTCTTATTCAGGCTCGTTACAGCACAGCTGGAGGCACTGAGGCTCAGCACCACATGAAAATGTTCACTTCAGTGCAGAGGATCAGACTGAAGTTCCCTTAAAGGGCGTCTGAACAAACCAGGCTCCAAGAGCTTGCGCGAAGTCCTTACACCCCTATATTCTCTTTTACCCGTTCCCTTGGCAGTTCAAAGTGTTGCACTTCACCTTTGGGTAATTTGTACCGAGTTCATCGATTGAACAAAACTGGATCAGCTTTTCGTAGATGCTGTGAAGGAAAGCCAAGAGATCAGAACAGAGCCAGCAGTACACAGAAGCGTTTCAGATTTGATAGCAGAACTCAGAAGCTGGGAAGCTACACTTGCTACAATGGATGTGGCATGTCATTACCTACGTTATTACCCACTTCCCCCAAACTAATCTCCCAGCTCCCAGAACAGACACACGTTCTGAAACACTTCATCCAAAGCCTGAACATTTGAAATCAAACCGACACACCAACTCTAGTTGTTGCCTCACAGAAGACAAAGAAAAGTTTTACAGTTTCAGTTACAATCAAATTATGTCTCTCATTTTTGTAAGTAGAAGTACTTCTTCCTCAGGATCCTCTTCGTGCTACAGCTCCAAAGAGGAAAATTCCTGCATCTGCTCTCTGGTGCTTCGGTCACACAGAAGATGGTGGCTCACCTGGGGTTACGGAATTCCTTTTTCCTCTGAATGATGTAGTTCATATCCATGCCCTCTTTTATTTTCCTCTCATATAGCTTTTGAATTTTATCCTAAGGGAGAAAGATTACAGGGTGAGCCAGCATGAAAAAGAGGAGCACATCAGTTGACTCTCAAAAGTGTACATGTGGAAACAAGCCAACCGAACCAGTGACCTCCTTGCAGGGAGCAAGGATTCCACCTCTCCCCTAAGGCCAGGCAGGCTGATTAGAGATGACACTCCCTCCTTTAACGTCTCAAAGCATCTTCATGAACTGTCTGGATGGGTAAGGGAACTGATCTCTGCACTTTCTGAAGGATTCTGCGATTACAGATTTGCACTGGAGGCAGCACTGCACACTCCCTCTTCCCAGTCTGTGTCTTCCTTTTATAGCTATGACTGTTGGGAAGTAGAAGCCAGCCTGGAGGGACAGGTGGAATCCACCAAGATTGTCCCATGACTTACAGGGACCATCACACCCACCTTCAGACTCAGGCACTCTCCTGGAAAACAGCTCCTGGGCTGCACTGGACAGAAGGCCAGGCTCAATGTTACGCCTGGCTAACAGAGCAGAGCCAAGTTCTGCTGGAGAACTAAGCCCAGTGTCATCAGTAGGTATGGCTGGTGGTGCCCACTGGCAGCCAAACGCCCTTAGGAACAGTGCACTTTAAATCCCTGTTTCAGCACAAATGACTGCTTAGAGGGAATCGGCTTCTCTTGCAGATCACTCAGTTACAAACTCTGTGGATACTGTACTGGAGCTACCAGCCCCTGCAAAAGGCAACTTAACTGACTCAGGCTGGAGATGCCAAGCAGTCTACTCTCCAAAGAGACAGAAAGATTTAAAAATAAACATGATTTTTTTTCTTCCTCAGCAAGGTAGTGGAAGACCTTAGAAGTATTTTTACTCTGGTGATGCTGAAGGGATAGCAAAAGCAGAAACTGAGATGGAACATATACTCAGGTGGTACTACTAAGAGAATATTCTCAGTAATTTCCTTCATCTTTCGTTTTTGACACAAATATCTCATGTGCAAGAGGCTAGGCCTTTAGTCTTTCAGGATGGGAGAGCTGAGTCAATTTTCCTTTGTTGCTTCTGGACAAGTCACGTCATGTCCCTCTGTACGGACGGTCAACTCGAGTACAGGACTGACCACTGCCTAAGGGTTTGCTGATGCCTGGATAAAAGAGGATTGTTAAGAGCCAACATGAAACTCTTATTTCATCAACTTTATAACATAAAGCTTTTTTTAAAATTTTCATCAGGTCCTCACAAAATTAGCAACAAGAAATGACAAAATCTCCACACCCAGTGCACATATCACGAGGTTTGAAGGAACAACTGCAAAAATTTGGGGATGTAGAAATGATTGGTGTTGCCTTTTGTCCCCTTCCCGTGGAGGTAACACTATGGTTCCCAAAGTCCACAGATGGGGAACGACTCAGTCAACTTTATAGTAGGAAATACTCCCTTTGGCAGAGCTCAAGACACAGTTTATTAGAGGAAGGATCTGACAAAAGGGAAGAGCAAATCGACAGCGAAAAGCCAAGAACATTTTGCATCTCCCAAGAACAATCCCATCTCCTTGCTGAAAGTGCTCCAAGATGTGGTTTGACCTGCTAACAGAGGAAAAGTCCTCCTTTGATTTAACGTAGTAAACTGCTGTCGAAGGGCAAGAAAATCTGCTTTATTCTGTCTCCTCTCCCAAGCTGTGTGCATTCCTCCGATCTAACACACAACACACTAATTCACGGATATCAGGACAGTAAAATGCTCCCACAGCACAGGAGGGGGAATGGGTGTGCCCAGGTACACTGTGCAGAGAGAAGAAAGTGCAATCTGGACAGTGAGTCATTCTGAATCACCACTGCACACGAGCAGCTTGCTTTATAGAGCATTCCAGACGTGATTTCTTACTTTTATTTCTACTGGGCAGTTAAAACTCAAATTTTAGTTTTGAGTGGTAGGAAACAGCAGGCCCTGATCCTTCATTTGCCCTCCATCAGGAGGGAGAAAACAGAGCAGAAAGCTATTGCAAAATTGGTTACTGCAGTTATTTGGGTGCGCACCAGAGAAAACACGCATTTGTTTTCTTTTGCTGCCTCTAAGTTACTAGTCTTCCCTCTAAATGTTTATCATCTAGAGATATGTAGGTGGAAAAGGAATCCAGTCAATGCTGTCTCAACTATTCCAGTTAGGGGATTCTCAGGCCTGTATAGAAAAACAATGATTTGTTCTTTCCTCCGGAGCTGAATTTGCTGAGGTAAGAGGATAACAGCCGTCACAGTAAACACTGCTTGTGGCACTAGCGGGATCAAGAGTCATTTTAAAGCAGACTGGAAAAGAGCTTTAAGCTACTTTGAGATTCCTAAACTAGAATTGCTGTGAAGCCTAAAGCATAACACAATGCATTAATAAACTCAGTGTGGTAAGAACCCAGCTTTAATTCTGGATTTTTGACTTGTGCAAAAATATGGAGCAGAGTTGCCAAATAGCCCTCCTCCCTACTGAACTGCAAACCTTTTAAAAAAAATAAAGTGGACTTATACCAACCTGCAAGTGGTTAGAACATCTGCCAGGAGGCTCAGGGGGGATTTTGATCTCATCTGGAGACATGTTCCGCACTCTCTCTGAAAAAGAAGCTGTAGAAAGCAAACTGGGCATGAGTTCTGGCAATGCTGAAGGGAATTTAAGTCATTCAATTTGTTTAATGTCCTTGCTAGAGCCACTCTATCATTGAGAGCTGATGGGTAAAGGTAACAGGGGAATGCTATCAGCTGCTACTCATGGTGTTTTCAAAGTGCTGAGCAAGAAACAACTAAAGGTCAGATCATTAGAAGGGGGATGCCACGCTGACTTCATTGGTGCCTACCTTATACTGTGGCTTTGCGTCACCCCCATGCTAAAGCTTTATTTTCAGGGTCTCTTCACCCCAGAACGGAAATGTGAAAAGCTAAGTGACTTCCCACTCCAGCTGCACTCCTCAGCAAGATCCTCAAAAGCAAAGGCTCTTCAGTGGAACAAAGGTTGGCTTGTGGAATGTATCTCAACGCCTGCACTGTGCTCCATATACTGAGCCCTCTGCTGCGACAGGTCTCCCATACACACCATAAATCCCTGCTCCGGACAGCTTAGAAAACCTGGAGTCTCTGACAAACCGTGTGCCAGAATAGAGAGTCTGGTTCTCTCACAGTGTGTGGAGGATCGTGGGATCAATCTAAAGCAGCCTGGCTCATCGCCATTTCTGGGGAGGTGATCACTTTGGGCCCTGTTTACTTCAAGACTTGCCTACGTGAACCAAAACGGTCCAAGGAGGGAACAGCCCTTCCCAAGGCTGTCAGGAGTTAACCACAAGAAATTGTATTTCATCCTTAAGTTTTCCTTAACAGGCACTTTGATCTTTCCTTACAGAGCCAGGCTGTTGCTAGAAAGAACAACCCGTTCTGCAGGACTGCGAACAGCCCAGTACAGACTGTCACATCTCTGTAGCTGTTTGTGCTGGGATATACTATTAGAGTACCTGACTGCCCTGTAAAGATTAGTTTACAGAGTTATCAGCAAAATAAGCTGCCATGTTTCCCCCAACTGCTTGCTACTTTCCCACTATTATGGGAAACCCAGGCAGTTTTCTAGCCAAGTCTAGATCTGTGCCACATTTCAGCAGCTGGGATTGTTTTCAACCATAATTTGTACAGGGAACGCATCCCAGAGTCCTCGTCTGTAGCGGGTAGAAGAGACCCGACTCCAGCACAGAAGTCATCTCCACCAAGCCATTTGCACGTGTGGCTCCGCAGTTATTCGTTCCCCAGGAAAAGCTGCCTGAGCTGCAGTTCCAGCACGCTCCAGTTCGGCTCCGTTGACCGAAGCCCAGAAAGGCCCCAAGGGCAGAGTCTGAACACAGGGTGCTCTCCTGCCTTCCAGCACAGGGCATCACATCCCCAGGTTACCAATAATCAACACTACCCATGTTCTGCACTTCTACAGTTTCTATTCCTCTTGTAAAAATGCAAAGCACTGAGGACAATCTCCTTCGGAGAGGCAAAGCGAGCAGGCCACCGCTCACTCTGTTTGATCAAGACGTTGCTGAGGGTTAAATTCTTGAGCAGTTGCTAGTAAGGAACAAAAAGTCTCCTTTGGCATTTACTAAGAGGGTGCCTCTGTGGAGGGAGAGCTTGCCAGACTCCCTACGGAAAGGGAGACAAACTGGAGCTCCCTGTCAACAAGGCAGACATTGTTACAGGTTACAGCTGCTGGTGGGATGGGGAAACCTCTAGTTTAATTAGTTTCAGGAACCCTGAGCGTAAATAGACAGAAGTGTGCGTAACAGACAGCACACTAGGCTTTCTGGAAAAGGTGAAAGCTGATTAATGGCTTAAGAGATCACAGCATCAGCAGAAATAGGGAAAAAAGGCCACCAAATCCAGACTTCAAGGCAAAAAAAGGACCTTAGAGAAAACAAACAAAAAACCCCAAGCCTAGCTCCAGACGAGACATTCCACAGACCCCTTGTCTTTGCAGATGACCACAAGTGCCACTGAGAAACAAAACACTGATGTGAAGGGGAACTGTGGACTCAGGAGCTCTGGCCGAGAACTCTGTCTGCCAGCAAAGAAGTCAAAGTCGTGAGTGCACGCTCGGCAATCAACTCCAAGCTCCCTTGGAAGAGCAGTAACACTGGAGCAGAAGAGCCCTCAATGAGCCAATCTATTTTGACACGCGACTTCTCAGGTTTTGGTGCTCATTTGCTCTTTTGTTTGAGCCATGTGAAAACATTTATCAGCATTACAGTGACAGGGGAAGGCACCTCTTCATGGCTCACAAGGAACCGGATCCAAGACATCTACTGCAGTCCCACCACAGCCGTACGCAGCCGGACTGAGTCAGCAGCGAGGCTACGTGCACCCCGAAAACTGAGCACAGACATGCATCGTTACTCAGCTTTTTCACCACATTCCAGCCAGACTGAGATGCCACATCATTAGGAGGAAAAGGATGAGTTTAATCCCTCCAGGCTTATTTACAGTAAGGAAGGGCAGATAATCCATGCCCTTGAGCAGTCCTCAAACTTCCTCCCCTAACAGACAGCAGGATGGCCGATTCCAAAGCCTCTTCCCACCAGCTCTTTCCCCAGAGGAATGGGCAGCTGGGATTATAATTCCAACTAAACCTAGGACTTGTTTATAGGGCCACAGGCTCCTGCAGAAAAGATTTGTTTTCAAAGGCCCAAGCACAGCTTTCTGCCATCTATACAGAGGTAAGTGCAGACGGACAGCTAACAACAAGGTGTGTCCTCACAGGATACATCCAACTGCTTCGTGCATCCTGTTATTTCTGCCAAGATCAAAGTTTTACTTTGACGTGAGTCACAGGTAGTGGCACTGGCTGCAGGCTCTCATTGGGCCTGGGAGTTGCTGGCTCACAGCCTAGAGGATCTCCATGTGGGGACCTCAGGAAGTTGGCTGTTGGCATGATTAATCACTACGGGCACACCCAGATTCTGGCTCACAGTAAGTAAATATCTTGCCCTAATCAGATTCACAGTCCAGATAAAGACCTGAGGCCATAAAGCAGATCCCATGACTCAGATGGGGGTTCATAGAATCACAGAATGGTTTGGGTTGGAAGGGACCTTAAAGATCATCCAGTTCCAACCCCCCTGCCATGGGCAGGGACACCTTCCACTAGACCAGGTTGCTCCAAGCTTCATCCAGCCTGGCCTTGAAAGAAAGCAGGAGCCAATGCACTGCCAGGTCTGCAACTCAAAGCATCCTGCTGCCGGAGGATGCTGCCACCGGTGCTTAGTCCATGCATTCTCCTTCCACAAGCTGACCTAAACGTTATCATCAGCACAAGCAATCGGTGCTTGAAGCTTTTTATGCAGCCAGCACTCAAACTACGGCAAAGCAGAGATGTTCAGCTGCTCCCAGGGCTCTGCAGGGCAGGCCAAACCAGAGCCAACTATTAGGGTGTTCCCAGCAAACATTCAGCATCTCAGTAGTCAGTGGTGGATATTTGCTTGCCAGATCTTGGTGAGACAGGCAATGAAATGGAAATGGTACAGTTTGACACAGATGGGTTATGTGACTGTATCCCAGTACAAAGCCATAATGCATTGCAAGAGAGACAGGACCACAGCACAACTGCCCTCGGTTCCTATCTGAGGGAAACGAGTGCTCACAGCCCAAAGGCTACCCTGGAGACGTGGAAGGGGGGCACAGGAGCTCTTTCCTACAGATGGGTAGGCACTTTTTACTTGTGCAGAAAACCAAAATAAAAGGGTGCATAGGAATCGAGAGCTGGCTGTACCTGGACAGACTGGGGTGTGGATCATCTAAGGTCTGGCAAAGCATCTCGCCTCCGCGCTCTCAGTAACACTGCTACCCAGGCAGAAGGAATCACTCCTAGTAAGGTTCGCTTTTACGCTGCATCTTAGGCAGCCACAGGTATTACAGGCAGTATCAGATGGCAGTTTGTCTATAAAGGTCACACTATGCAAAACACCAAGCAAAGACCCGGAAAGGGTAAGCAGAGGGGCATGGCTTTCCCCTGGAGACATGCAAACTGGTGGTGCCTGGTCTCTAAAACTATATTCTTTGGCACTCTCATCAAGGCTGCTTGGCATAAACCGGGGCGTGTGGGTTTCTGATTTCCTGGCACCAGAACAGCCAAATCAGAGGGAAGAACTGGAGGCAACAACATTCCAGTGAGTCACCCATCCATGGAAGGACACTGGTTCCCCTTTCTGCTCTGTGGGCTGAGAAATGCAGCGAGAGACCTGCAACTCAGCCGTATTTTCTGTGCTTATGAACACTGACTTTGTGCTCAGATATCCTAAGGGCTGGAGAGAACACTTCTTACAGTCCAAAAGGTAAACAACCATGCTGCAAAGAACTTCAGGGCAAAAAAGTGAATCCTAAAAGTATTATTTTTCAAGGCTGCAGGAAACAGCAAATACAGTAACTGCCAGCACCGTACACCCTTCAGATGTCCTAAAAGGACAACACTGATGCAGAAATCTATCAGATTAAGTTCCACATGCACTTCCTCCTCAACCACAAAGTAGTTCCTGCTGGAAATCTCCCCTCCCCTCCTTTCAGGCTTTGATTATGTGATCCCTGCTTCAGCTTAAGTCAGGACCATGCCCTAGTGCTCACCCAGCATACACTATGCAGATCAGGGAATGGACCCAACTGGAAGCCTTGCAGGGAGGGGAAAAAATCCCCACACCCTCCAGACCAGCTCAAGGCACACAAACATTAGCATGAGTCCAGGGGAGGCAAATCAGACATTATTTTTGGCAGGAGCCAGTATTTATACTGTACTTAAGCAACTACATAACCAGGGACTTGAATAAAGGTGATGCTGAACAATGCAAGGTTATCTTCTGAGAAAGGCAGGCCCGCAAGCTTTTAAAGCAAAAAGCAGTTGGGGAAAACCATCTAAGGAAGACTCTGACTTCCACATACTGGTATCAGACACAGCTTTACATGCCCACACGGGAGAAGTTACTTGCTTTGCATCAGAAAATCCCACACCTTTTTAATTCAAGAAATTCTAACTCTAAAAGTCCAAGTTCCCAGGAAGGGAGTGGTTCTTACTTTACACCAACCATAAGGCTCTTGCAACAGCTCCTTTTATCTAGATAAGATATGGTCTAATGCAAAAGACGAGGGGGAAAAAAAAAAAAGAATCCAGCATGGCAAGTGTGCTGACCTCTAGTAACCTGGTCCTGCACAAAGTCAGCCCTACAGCTCACTCTGTGCACGCTACTGCTGGGAAACGACATTAAAGATACATCACAAACCTGAATCCAGGTCGTGGACTCACCAACACTGTCCCCTCATGAGTGTGTGACACCAATGAGTGCCCTCTTTGCAGCCTGTAAGCCTGCATGCAAGTCTGGGCTGTCATGAGATGCAGCGTCCTCATCTCCTGTGGATGGGGCAGTCACTGGGGGAAAAGGAGACTAACAAAATTGCATCCTGAGCCTTACACCTTAACTAAGAAAACTAAGTCCTTCCCACTACGCTGTTTTACAAGCGTAGAGCTTCACCTGTATGTAAAGTAGAGAGCAGAAGGGCAGCTGGCTTTCAGCTATTTTTCTTTACCCTAAATGCTGTTGTCTCATCCATGTTTCTAGCGCGCGTTTTGAGGCAGATGAGTAGTTCGGAGAAGACCCCTATTGCATTATGGCATGAGTCTGGTTAAAGCAGTCTTGCCTTCTAAAGGCTGAAAATTCAATGTAACAGTTGGGTTGGTGCAGGCCAACTGACAAGGACTTAAGTCCAAAGCTTCAGGGCGATGGCTGTTGCAGGAGTCACAGCTGAGCATCCTAGTATTTGTCTTCTTTATGTTTATCACACTTCATGGCTGAAATACCATGCTTGAGCCTTGACAAGCTGACTTAACAGATAGCGCAACTTCTAAACTCGAGAGGTTTTTTAATGATCTTATTACACGCTACCACACAGCGGTACTAGTAACCTGGGGAACAAAGGATATTGAAGACAGTCAGAAGTTCAACATAAAACACTTCCTGCACAGCTCCAGAGACCAAGCCGAGGATACCATTTCAAGCAGATGACCCTGGACTTCCCAAGCATTTTTTTCCATAACTAATAATGGTGGAATAAATAAGGGCGATGTCACAAAAATCAAGTGAGATTCAGTAACCGTAAGAAAACATACGATACACTATGTCAACGCAGCAGCTACGTGGATCTTATTGAAGTGGAAATATTTTAGGTAAGATTTTGAAGCCATGGAAGAAAGTATCTGTCATCATTCCTGGTTACACTGGCTCTAAAGCAGCCGCTTTGTCCAGACACTTCTTTGATTGTTTTTAAGCTCATCTAGAAAAAACACCAGCATTGCCCTTTACACATACATCATAGACATGTAATATATGAAAATATGTTCGTATTTTTAGGCCTGGTGCCTTTCTCCCAAAAGAAGACCTCACTGAAAATATTCCAGAGATAAACCACTATAGGCAATAATCCAAACCACAGCATTGTCAGGACAGAGTGAAGATGGTTTTTACAAAGGCAGAGCCTAGAACGTCTAGCTTGAAAAAACATGTGCATAAATACTTCGGAGTGAACTTACCAACTAGCTCCTGAGGATCTCTTTTCTCCAGTTCTGAAAATTCCTGGGAGGAAGGGGGAAGAAAAAGATTTTAGTCAAGGTACACTTTCAACCTCAAAAGTTATACTGTGCATTTGTTTAGAATTTTACACATTACTTCTGAGACAAAAGAATAAAAATTAAGAATGAAGTGCACGTTATAACAGGGCAACGTTTGTACCACGGAAAGTTGAAGCCTAACAGGACGCCCGGTTTCCTTTCAAAGCTAGAGCCTAAATTTAATGACAGAATTAAGGCTTTGTATCAGTGAGTCTTGGACACTCAGCTCCTTTTGAATTCCCCAAGAACTGTTGCACTTGAAGCAACAAATTCTTCATTTTTGGTGGCTGGCCCTTGGCACTGGCCAGGAGTCAGTGCTCTAGAGCACAGCTAGCTAAACACAAGCTGGATCCAGCCGGCAGAAAACCCTGCAGCCCTGGGAATGCCTACCACAGGCTTGTGCACCTTGCAGTCCTCTAAGCAGGGTCAGTGGATGCACTCCCAGAGTAACAGGGAAATGGGAAATGCTCCCAGAGCCAACAGCAGAGCACAGCAACTTCAGAGCCGCATCTGATCAGTCTCTGGGGACACCCGGGGTTCTGCGGGGTCCTGGGCTGCCGAGGTTTGCCCTGGGTGCCAGAATTCACTTCTGTAACTGTGCCATTCAGGGCTTTGGCTCATAAACCCTCTACAAACCCAAATGCCAGGGAGGATGGTGGTGATGCAGATCCTGTATTCCTCTTTCGGAAGAATGCTCCCACTGTCAATCCTCTCTTGGCTGCTACTTTGCAGGAGTGACAGACGATGTGCTCTAGAAACTCAAGGGCAACCTCCGCTGAATTGTAATGCTCCGTTTGGAGATCTTCTCAGCACAGCTTACCTCCCCTTAGGTGTGCTAATATAAATGAAGGCAGCTTCAACTGAAGGTGCACAGCAGACCTCTGCATCAAAGTCTGCTGAGCAGGAGGTGTTATGTAGGATAAGACACTCTTAAATATGCTTTTGCCCACTTGTAACCAACATTCCAATATTTTGGTGCTTCTGGAGAGTCACAAGTGATATCAAGTGCAGCACAAACCCAGTTTCTGAAACAGTATCAGCTGTATCCCAGCACTGCCCTCTCCCCCCTGCCTCCCTCCCCAAGACCTTTTGTGACTCACTGGACTGTGAGTCCAAAATTCCTCAGTGCCTCTGAACACTGAAGCTATTCATTCAACCTGACACAGACATAATGCTGCCTCCCTGCTGCCTAGTAACCACTCTCTAACCCCCTCCTTTACTCCGTTCTGCACCAGGTGAGAGGTGCATAAGGTGAGGGGAAAGCAGTGAGGTCACCGAGCCAGGTCTGGGAACAGGCTGTGCCAAAGTCACCGTGAAAAGCCACGGATTGCCAGAGAAGCCAAAGCCCTCTGGAAGCAAAAAAACCAAATTCTTTGTGTGACACTAACTGCTACAGGGCACTTTTTATAGCCATTCACACACAAAAAAAAGCAGCACTCTTTCTCCCTAAGTACACTGGGATCACAGAAATACAAGGCTAAAGCTATTTTAGAACACAAAAGAGAAAATAAGTACACGAAGGAACATGCATTTTCTTGCTGGCCAGCTGGCGAGGCCCCGGGCCCCTCTGTGAGATGGACTAACAGCTCCAGCCCTTCTGAGCTAACACACCACTGCCTCTTCTCCCGGGGTCTTCAGAAAGAGCACAAGCAATAAAAAAACACAACAGCAGCATGACATTTCGAAGCAGAAAACATGCCAAGAGGAGCTCTTTTTGGTGAGAGCACTGGAGAGGAATCCAGGGAATCTAGGCTGTGTTCTCCACAAACCTACGCAGACACGGCGTTAACGCGGTGAGCCTCAACGCCGTGTCGCCGTGGTTACGGGAGGGAGCATCCGTCTGCCACCGGAGAAGTGGGGGCAATTCTGCGGTAACGAAGAGGTGCGTTAACGCGGTGAGCCTCAACGCCATGTCACCATGGTTACGGGAGGGAGCATCGTCTGCCACTGGAGAAGTGGGGGCAATTCTGCAGTAACGAAGAGGGGGTGATTAGGAGGCAAATGTTGCACATGGGCTGGGGAAGTTCACAGAGCCACAGATACAAGGGAAACGTACGTCCAGGCGGCACAGTGACTCGCTGGGCTGGCAACACGCTGCTTTATTCTCTTTAAGGGCAGATACGCAATTAAAAAGTACTTGTCACCTCGGTTTGAGACAACAAGCAACGGTTGTTGAGGTGAAAGGAGGGAACTGCTTTTGTTCCAACCTTGGCTGAATTACATCCTGCACTCTTATCTTCTGAAAGTTTTAAGTGGACTGAAAGGGAAGAGGAGGAGATGGGGTACATCCCCGAGCACCTCTTGATCCTTCCTCTTACCCAGCACTGCATTTATAATTCCATTATCCCTCCCATCTTCTGCCCACTTGTCCTCTCACCATCCAAGGACAGAGAGGCAAGAGAAAACCCCCAATGACCAATACTGCCAAGCAGGCACTTAAGCAACCCGGTGGCACAGTCAAATGCAGGTGCTTTCGACATGGGCTAAATGCCCTCCAGCAAGCTGCCCTCTCACTCAGCCAGTTCACAGGGATGCATTTGCTGCATTTCTGAAGTTTCCAGAAGCCTGCTTTCAAGTGTCCTGTAGTCTGGGGCCAGCACCACGCATAAGCACGTAATTCTCAGGAAACAAGGACTGATAGTACAAGAGATCATTTGATAGCCAAACCCTCTCCTGTTACGCACCTTACATCAGACATATCTCTGAAGTGTCAGATGCATTAAATAGTACGTTTTATGAATTCCCAGAATCATCACTAAGTTTGTTTTCACCAGAAGTTTGTTCTACGATTTGTATCCTTTAATCCTAGGGGTACAGCACAAGCCCCATTTGCAAGAGCTAAACAAAGCCAGCCCTACCAGGCTGCCACTGTGCATTTACAGGGCCTCATCGCCCACCCCCGTTTCACCACAGCGAGTCTGGTCTCCACATCCCCAGGCCATAGCCAAGGCAGCAGAAACCCCAGAGCTACACCAGGCAACAGAAAACAAGTTCACTAACATATTACAGCCACACCTCACTGCCCAGAGGACATGAATTTTGCTTACTGATGAATTACTGCGTACCTACACCCACTGCTCCATCATTAACAAGCTGAAGACATCAACACAGCTTTCATTAAGTCAGACTACTTTCAAGCCTCTTAAAATGCCTTCAGAAAACAAAGGGATGACCGACTCCTCCCCCGGTGCTTGTTCATAGTTGCTCAGTTTACTGCCTCGCCATAGCGTTAGACAAGTATCAACAACTTGACCGAGGACATACAGTTTGGCAGATGAAAGATTTAAGAAGTTTGTTCAAACCTCTGAGCATCTACTGAAGATCAAGAACTTAAGGACAGTCTAAAAACCTTCAGCGGCGTAATCATCCAACAAGGACCAGCCTACACTCCCTTAGGCTAATTTAAGTCTGGGACCCACGTTCAATACAATGAACTGATTAGAAAAGACAGCATTAAAAAAAAAAAACCCACGCCAAACCCCCACCATATTTTCTGCAGATCTAATCCAATATAAAGCTGAACGAGATAATCACTGAGTAACAAGGTACAATAAATACTGCATGGTTGCTACCTTTCAATTGTAAAATGGAAGTAGTATTTACACACGGACAAGAGATTTCTAAAGGGATTCAAGCACATTTAATAAATGAAAAATTTGGAAGATAACTGAATTTTAAGTAGGGAATTTGCCTAAATCCGTACTGGGCAAGGTGACCTTTTTGTAGGTTATTACACCATCAATACCCACCAGGCTACGTACCAGTAGCTCACACGACGAGCACAAAATCAAGCGGGCGAGCGGTTCCAAGCAGAGGGGATTTTATGACAAACTTCTCTATCAGAATAAATATATAAAACCTATTAGAACCTTCAAGTATCCCAGAGCTTCCTTTATTGGGTTCATTTCCATTTGGACCTTGACCATTGAAAGCCACAAGGTTAAGTGGCACCTTCCAATACTGCAGGGTTTCACAAGCCCAACCTCTGAGGGCCTGCACGGGAGCATCTCCAGGTTTACTTCTGCAGCCAGTCTCTCACACCTTGCACAGTCAGCCTGGACGCATTAGTTATGCTGAAAAATCTCTCTACCATCACAGAAATACAAAACTCAGGGGAAAAAGAAAAAGTCCCATCTACATTCTTTTTCTCTAGTCATTTATCCCATCTAGCATTACATGATGGCCTCTAAGAACGGTCAGACTGAGTTAATAAAAAAAGGCAGTACTGTATTTTATTCCCCTCATGCACTCAGCAAGTTGATTTTCTGGCTGCTCTCTATTTTGCAGCCTAGATCTCACAAGATTAAAGGCCTAAAGCCAGACGGCCTTAATCCAACAGATTCACTGCAAGGAGTCAAGGGATGCCGTGGTGGTTCAGAGCCAAGCTGGAAGAGGACTGAAAGACAGCAAGACAAGCAAGAGGCTTTCCCCCGACGCAGAGACTAACAGAGCAGCCTCTGAAAAGCACAAACTGCTGTGAGCAAAGACAAAGTATTAAAAAACCCAACAAGAAAACCCCCACACTTTTCAACATCTAACGGGACAACTACCATAAGTCACACTTTCGATGATACAAAGAGCAATTCTGCAAATCAGCTCACCGACAGCAGAATACACTCTATTACACAGAGGAATATCTGTGTGTTCAGAAAAAGGTTTTCCATCTTTCCTACTTCCAAGAAAAATGCTTTCTTCAAGCCCTGGGCAAGACAACCCTGCCTGAAAGAGCCTGACTGTTATGAACCCAGCTGGATGAGGCTTGGAGCAACCTGGTCTAGTGGAAGGTGTCCCTGCCTATGGCGGGGGTGGGACTGGGTGGGCTTTAAGGTCCCTTCCAACCCAAACCGTTCTGTGATTCAGTTTCCATGTATCATAGTAAGTTAAAGAAGAGCAAGCCGAGGGATGTGGGTGTGTACAAGCATAAGGAAAGCGACGCATTTTGTCTTAAGATTTCACCTGGTTGAG